TGTTCAATTCAGAACAATTTTGGATTTGAGAACATTTTAGAACAAAATTAAAACACACTTTAGTTTTAATTAAAAGAGGGGCCTAGTCCATCAACTTTACTTATTCACGCAAAAAACCAATGACACCCAACTCCGATCTTGCCTTCCGCCCAACACCGTCTCCTTCCGCAAATCACATCGACACCATCAATCACTACCAGAGATAACCACTGTTGGGAAAGCATTTTCTGTAGGTGGTTGTATCATGGAGTATTGGAACCATGTTGCTTCGTTTCAGCCTTGCAAGTGTCGTATGTGTTATAGTTAATCATGAGACGTAATTAGACAGGTAACAATCTGAATTCGATGCTTGCTAAATCTAGTTTGAAATTCACCTGAATATTCATTAAGATGCCATAATTTCCTATATATTTCCATTTCATCTCACTGTATAAAATGATAACAGAAAATCAATTGTTAGGGCATCTATAACGTTTTAAACTTTTCACAAAATTTTCTTTAGTTTTTAATTATTAGTGGAACAAAATGAGAATTGGTGGTGATGAAGTTGGTGCAATGTCAGAATTAAATGATATAGTAACATAAGTACTCATTTTTTTAAAGTTGATTTGCATTGCCTATCAGGTGTTCGATGAAAGTCCTCTAAGAATATATACATCTTTCAAGGTAGTTAGGTGTTATTATGTCTATATATAATTTAATCCCAAAGGTCTGTTTTTGTATTTCATCTTTGTAGCCGTTTTCATGAACCACCAAACTATCCTTTATATTCACAAATGTTTTTGTGTTCACAATGCTAATAAATGGATGGAATGGAAGTATCTACAGATGTTTTTGTCTTTAAGTTGGATTTTGAATTAGAAGTTGAACATTTATTAACGTCATTGTAGAATTTTATTACGAACTTGCTTGTTCTATTTGAAAATTTCCATTATGTTTTCATGTTGTTGATGTATTACGAACTTGCTTGTTCATTTGCTTGGTTTTGTGAAGAATTATGCATACAGTTGGATTGGATTGTTTTTATTGAAAATATTAAGCTTTAGGGGCTGGATTGGAGTCTATTAGAGAATTGATGATCACTGTAGATTGTTTGCACACAAGGTGTTTGTCATATTGTCTGAAAGAACCTAATAAGTATGAAAGTGACATTTTATTTGAAAATCCTTAACTTTGAACCCTCATTAAGCCAAACATTAAGGCCCTTAGGTTAAATTGAATTTCACATCTCTATAGCCTAATAAGTAACCAACAATCATGTTAAAAGTGATAAACTTAAGGCTTAACCATTAATTCCTTAATAGAACACCAAAAGTGATTTAGAAGCTATTATGATCAATTTTCCCAAATCTGTCCTCCAAATTCTAAAATTTGTACAAGTCAATACGAACATCTAAAAATCATGAGACTTAGTTTTCTGGAAATATTAGTGTGTCTACTTTCTTCAAACTTTGAACCACATTTCGAAATTTCAACTCCTTGAGGGGTAAAATTGGCAATCTTCTCAGGCTGGTCCATGCTGTCACAAATTTCATGAAATGTTTTCAAAAAATCATAATAAATTCATCAGAAATCCAAATGCCAAAATTCCAAAGCCTATAGTTAGATATGGATGTATAGTTTCCTATATATAAAGGGACTGATGTAATTCTTAGCATATTGGTACAGTTTATTCCAAAAGTGTTGAGTGGTCCAGAATGTGACAGCTTAAAGTTTCTAACTTGTAAATTTAATATAAAATCAACCAAAAATCATTAAAACGAGATATTTATATTTCTGAAAAGATAAAAGGGGAAAATTTACCAATATTATTTTATCTAAATTTAAGAATGGGTTGAAAGGTAAGAAAACAGATCCCAAAAAGAGCACTACAATCAAAGAGAAAATA